TTAAAAATTAATAAATTTTATTTTCTTTGCATAAAATTACTTATTGTTATAACAAACCACTATGATGTCAAGTAATGTACTGCGAATTGGTATAATGTTTACTAATATAGAAGATATTTGTTTAGTTCTAAAGAGCTACTCTGTTAAAACTTCTTCGTTTTATAAATAATTATACTAGTTTAACGCTATTTTTTATATAATATTTAAACTTTCAAAATGGCCATTTGCGGATACTATTTGATTTAGTTGATCTGTTATATTTGAAAAATTATATTGATATTTCTTTGGTCCTTGCAAAGTTAATTTTGTATCTGATACGCTTAAAGAAAACATTTTAAAAGCCGTAGCAAGTACACTTTCATCATCAATTTTAGACGATCGTGTAGCATGATTAAACCAATGAATAGACCATGATGAAAGCGATAAGTTGTAAAGTTTTTCAAGTGGCGCTTCATGTCGAGTTATCAATTCGACGGTTGTAAAATAGTGATATGGAAAATGAAAATAAACAGGAAGCAAATGAATGCCAGATTTATTTACTAGAGTGCGATGCTCTTTAACAAACTTTGTTAAAACATTAGGGCCCACGCAAGTGATACAATTAGGATCATAACCTTCAGAGTATACATTTTCCATCATATCTTTAAACATTCGTCATAATCTACGTAGACGCATATGACCATTTGCTATATAATCAACACCTTCTAGACTCCAATCCACAACCCATTCGGTATGGTCAATAGTTAAATATTCATTTTTAACATCTGTTGGTTTGCGCAACCAAAGAACATCCATATCCATATAAGTGCCACCATAAATATATATTAATACAGTTCGTAAGTAGTCAGAAAGATGTAAATTAAAAAACTTTCCACCTTCCCAACTACTTAAATTCTGAATCCAATTTTTTGTTTTTTCACCAAAATACCATTGTCTTTTTAACATTAAATCTTTATTAAATTGAATTATATAAATTTGATATCCCAGTTTTTTATATTCATCAAAAAAGTCCATGAGAAGAGTGTTTGATATTACTATGATAATTGCTTTCGGTATATGCACAAAAACAGACTCAATAGATTTATAGTGTCGATCTTGGAAAGTAGATTTATCTGATAACCATATGAGCCAATGTAATAAATACCATTGTTCTGTCTCTGAATAAATTGATGATTTGTGTGATAAGAGACCCGGAATTAACCAATCGTCATCATCTTTTTTTCCCCATTGTAGTATTAGACGGTTCATCAAATGCTGCAATGAAATCTTTTGGGCCACTTGATCGCAATAAAGTAACACCTGCCACATGGTCACAATCAAAATTCCAATCTCTTTGATGCCTTTCTTTTCCTAAGCATGAGTAACATAATGCACAAAACTTTTGCTCTGAACCTTGGCACATTCTGTTATTTTGTATAATGTTTGAATACATAAACTCAGCATTTCGTTTAAGCTCCTTAAAATCATTAAACTTAATAGCAATCATACTATCTTCGCACACATTTGCAGGTTGAATACGCTTATCATGGATTGGTTTTATATTGTGAGCAAAAAGCCATATGCCTAAATTTTGTCCATGTTACCTGAACTATCAAATAAAATTACAGTATTTTTATCATTTACTATTGGATTATGGTCATGTGATACAAATTAATCAACTCTCAGCTTCATATCGGCTTTAAGAGTCTAAAGCTAAACCATTTTAGAGCTGATACCTTATTAGTAAACCCAGAGCTGAGCTGTTAATTGGCTCAGCTTAGCCATTTGGCTTTTGGCTTGACTCAAGCCATTTGCATCACTAGGAATAGCTAAAGCAAGGTGTATTAAAGTTACTTTTTTAATACAGTTAGAGTTATTTTTCTAATACATTAATGGTTAGTAGTTTATATAAGTATCAATAAGATAATTTGTGCAGCATGTAGATCATTTCCAAATTTATACCAAACACATCTGGCTTTAACTGGCCCTATATTAGGACAATAGTAAATTTTGGGGATAAGTACAATATAAATTTTTATTATATGCTGGAATCTGAGCAGAGTCCAATGAAAAATATTTTTTTATTAAGTTAACAACCAAAATTAATTAATTGAAAGTTGTAAAGCTCACTGAGACGCATCTAATGGTAGTTAGATCGTCCAAATCGACCTAGTGGATACTGAGATATCACTAAAAAACAATTGGCTGACTATATAAAAATCTAGTTTGTTTACATAGAATTTTATATAGTTTTTTTTAGTGATATCTCAGTATCTACTAGGCCTATTTGGATGATCTAACTACCATTAGATGCGTCTCGGTGAGCTCTACAACTTTCAATTAATTGGCTTTGGTTGTTAACTTAATAAAAAAATACTTTTCATTGAACTCCGCTCAGATTCCAGCATATAGTTAATATCATAGGAATTTTGCCCCAAATTCTAATATAGAAATTGTGCTGATCTTATCTGGATCAACAATTAATAGATTTTTTGTTATATTGTTATATATAATATATTTGATTATTGTTTTTGCTATATTGAAAGGCTCTCGGTATAGTGAATCTCTCAATATAGTGAAGAAATTTTTACAGCCAGAGAACTTCACTATAAAGAGAGTGACTTGTAGTAAATTTACTAAAACTCTCAATAATAAATTTAAAAATTTTTATTAATGGAGCAAATCACTTCACTAACGAAAGTTAGCTACTTGTAATTGCCACAAGACATAAATTTAGTAGCAAATATTTACCAAACCAATTAAAAAGATAGTCAGCATCGCCTATAGTAATTTTATGACAAATTAAATAAAAAGGTTCAATCAATTTAAAATAAAACTAGCGTACAGTATCAATAAAATTACCAGCATATACTAATACTCATTGTAATACAAGAGAAATTCAATGTTTCTGTCAAAGTGAAGTATTCTAAATTAAAAAAATAAAAAATAATTAAACATGTATTAATATATTTATAAAAGCTTTAACCACAAAAATTAGACCAATCTCGACTAATTTATATTAATTGATTAATCTAGATTGCTTACCAATCACCAGAGTTAACAAAGGAGCTATTAATATTTGTGTTACATAGTTGAAGGTTAAACGAAGGATCAACCCCAATTCAGTTTTATCATCTGTACTATTAGAATATGCCAAGATATCCAAGAAATCTGGATAGCAAGCACTACCTTTACATTTTGGCCTTATATTAATCATTGTTTTAAAACATTGACTAAAAGCATTTACGCAATCTTGTGCAATACTACTTGAATTGTAACATGTTTGTGTTGAATTAGCACATTTAGGTAAATCCGCTGTCATTTGAGCACATGTGGCATTATCTAACACTGGCTTATAATGTGGATTATTACAACCAACATTTGAATTGTAATAGAGGGTTTACTAGGCCATTTCCAATCAAGATGGATTCAAGATTCATAACAGTAACGCAATTTTTGGTCATTGCGCTAATAAGGTACTGTACGTAATGTCCTCCATACATGTAAATAATATAAACAAAACAATTCTAGTTATTTTGTGATTTTATTTGAAACATTAACAATGTTAACAATATTAACAATATTAATAAGATTAACAATGCTTACGATTCACCAGCAATATGGAATTTTAATTTAGCATATTGACGGAAATTTCGGAAAAAGATCAGCAAAAATGTGAATACATCAGATACAGCGTCTACAGTATGAGATACACTATCTCCATAAGAGTATCCTGCATTAGTTGGCTATAAAAATTAATTTATATTGCAGTAGCATGATTAAAGATCCATTTGATTGGTTGTCGATCCTTGAATTTTTATTGGCTGATTAGGGTGAACCGACCCATATGAAAATACAATCAGTTATAAGAAAAGTCACAATTACAGTTGATTTTTTGATGCTAGCCAGTAAAATCAACCTAGTCAGCTAAGTCGGCTAATTTATAAAAAAATCGACATAGTCAAGCCAGTTAAATAAAACCCAAAAATGTGTATAAAAGTTTTAGATGAATTCGGATGATTAGAAATTCGGATAATTAAATAATCAAACACAAGAACAAGTGTAAGTACTTGAAATAATTCAGAATCCAATTTTATCTACATATTGTTATAAAGTATTCAACTTCGCATAGCTAGCTAACTAATTGTTAAATCCCATCTTGATCAAGTTGATAAACTTAGATTGACAGTTATATCTAATTATTAGTTTGTTAAAACTAGATTACGAAGCCATATGCTAGTTTTATTATAAATCAAACTTTCTTAACATATATTTGAATCTTATATATTATAATACATCTAAGAACCTTAATAAATTTTCTTAAATATATTATCGTTATTACTTCCTATTTTTAAATTACTGGATAATATAAGTTGCACAAAGCTTCACCTATTGCGCTAGTTACATTAAAGAAAAACCAATCTAATAATGATTCTATAACAAAAGAATGCAACATAAAACTATGAAGTGTATATACTTTGAAATTATTTTTAAGGTTTCGATCTTATGCCATTTTATAATAATAACACTAAAGTAAGATTAATTTATTGGTACTGCAATTTTAATTTCTAAATCCATGTGATGGTCATCATATGAAATTTCTAACCTAACTACATCATGGTTACTTATGTTATGAGATTGATAATTAGGATAATAAATAAAATTACTCAAAACAGAATTAATCTCCATCAACGTTGGATTATGAATTATTACAGAAGTGTTTTTTCCCCGACCCCTTCCACTTGGATCGAATGACAACATGCCATATTGAGTCTTTGCCTTAATTTCTACTTGATGTACATGTTCTAACTTACCACGTACACGAATCACATCTAAACTTTCAAAATGGCCATTTGCGGATACTATTTGATTTAGTTGATCTGTTATATTTGAAAAATTATATTGATATT